TGTCAAAAATACTTTATGCTAAACCAATGAAATTTACTACTGTAGCAGGATAATATGTTGTATGAACAGTAGAACAGCAACAGATTTGAGTTTAAAATTACTCCCATAATTTTCTGAGAATCATGCATGTCACACATAGTCTTAACTCAGTAACTAAAAATTGGATGCAAAGCTGCCTGAAAAACAATTTTCCAAGAGTACTCAGATATCCCCTATGAAGCAGGAAGAATGTGTACGTCAAGGTTCAAATATTAGTACCTTCATCTGTACTGTGGTTCTAGAGAAGCAACTCCAAGCTACAATGGGACTGAGCGCATTTTCCAGGATAAAGTTATAATTCATGATGATTTTGATAAGTGATAGAAGTGATTTGAAAATAGGATGCAGTTATATAAGTATAGCTGCAAAGCAGGAACCTACAACTGTACAATTACAAGATGGGAACAACTGAGTAGGCAGCAGTTCTGCAGAGAAAGATATGGAGCTACAGTGAATCACAGACTGAATGAGTCAACAGTTCTAGGCTGATGCAAAAGTGACAAACATCATATTCTAGTGAATAAATGAGAGTATTACAGGTTGGAAAGATGAAGTAATTTTTCAAATCTACCCTGTACTGATAAGGGTTTAGCTTGCCCATTAGATCTAGATTTAAGTACAGAATTCATGCAAAACCTACCACAGAAAAAAATAAAGGTAAAAAACCAACCAAACAAAAAATAACAAACAAAACTGAAACACCCAAAAAGAGCCCAAAAAACCTTGACTTACAAAAATGAAGTTAAAAAAAAAGCCTGTTTTGTCTAAACAGCAGAACAAAGAGAAGACACTTCATTATGTGAAAGATGTCATAAACAGGTAAGATGCCCACCAGGGAATAGGATATATCCACCAGGAATAGGATAACTAATCGTTTACAGTGTAGCAAAAGATATCAAGATTACCATGCTGTTCTAACATCTTGAGGTAAATACGGATTCAAATTGTCTAGCAGACATACTGAGGAATCTCTGTAATTAGAGATTTTCAAAAAACAGGCTAAACAAACATCTGTCAGGAATGATGTATATTTAGCTCAGTATGTCTTTAGGATAGTGGATGGGTAACAAGCTTTCCAGCCACGTTTTGAGAAGACAAAAACTTCACACTACAAAATAATGACATCTACATCCATTGTTTTAGTAATACAAAGGAAAGAGTAACACAACATCAGGACCTTTTTTAAATTACTCCTATGAATTATGTCCCATTATACTTTTAAGCTGAAGCATAACAACCACCTCTTTGAAAAGCAGTTTTTTCATACTGAAATGGTTAACTCCCAGCACTGGAAGTTAATGCTGCAATTTAGTGTCTGCAGTTTTAATTCCTAAGGTCAAACATTCCCACTTTCATACCTGCAGCAAAACACCAAGGCACAAAATCCTGCACTCACTCTACACTTAAATATGAATGTTGTCTTCAACTGGCAGTTCTTCAAAAAAACATAAATAATAATTATACAAGATGCCTTTGACAACTGTCAGTATACCCTTCCTCTCTTAAGAGACCTTATTAATAAGACAACTTGCTTTGACTTGCCTTGTTGTAGGCCAGAGTCTACTCTTGCAGCTTCACTGAAGACAACAACAACATGCACTTGGTGTCTCAGTTTTTGGACACTGAGAGACATCAATTAAACACAAAAAGTCACTATAAAATGTTAACGAACAGTACTTATATAAAAAGATCTTTTTTCCCCTAGAAAAAAATTATCTTCACAACACCTAGCAAAGCTGTATCCACAATTTTGCTTGTATTAAAATTTTGTTTTTAAGAATGTGAAATGTCTACTGAAAAATATGCCCACTTGATATAGAGATTTGATATATAGATATAAAGATTTAGTTTTTTTCAGTGAATACATGATGGCAACAACTCAGACTTTTCATTAATCAAAATGAATGGCATTAATTTATTTCAGAGAGGGTGGGGAAAAAATCCTTTGCTTCCCCAGCCCACTTAAGGAATTCCAACATTTCAGGGATAAAAAAAGTAATAAAATGCAGCATCCATAAACACACTAATCATCCTGTCTATTTCCTTCATACAAATGTATATCACAACAGGGATAAGACATGACTGAGGTTCTGATCTATTCCAAAGAACTAAAATAATTTAGCAACCCCAAGCTTCCTTCTTGGAAAAGGCGAAGGTCAGTTCTGTTTTGCTCCAAGTATAAAGGAACCATTTGTATTGTAGACATGCAGGTCTTGTATACTGTCTTTCCTAACTTCATCCACAAAGTCTTCTTCGAGGCTACTACTGATATTAACCTAGTGGAAGAAGTGTGAGATCAGAAACACTACAATTGTGTATATTTACCCCTCCTCCTACTATTACATTATGGCAGTATTTAGAGGGCAGATGGAGATATTATCTCCTCTAATCATGTTTCACTTGTCAATCTCAGAACAACCATGGTAATGAAGAGAAAGACTAAAGGGAATTTGTTTTGGATCATGCTTTCTATATAAAGTATGAATAAAGTACCCTACAAGTTGCTTTACACATCCAATAGAAACTCAACCAATATAAACCAAGACATTTCAACCACAGGCTGATAATCTGTAAGACGCCAGTAGAAAACACTTCCCAGGTTAGAATGCTGGGTTATATAATGGCATAAGCACTGTACACCCAGAATCCCATGAGTAGAGTCCATAGAACCAAGCTACTTAAAAAGACAGCTACCTAAAAAGATCTCTGAAAATGCTGAATCAAGGTCTTCCAAGAATTTTCACTACTATGATTTTATCTCTTATGTCTGCATAGCTAATAAAAGCACACATAAAAATATTATATACGTGACCAGATTTCACAAAAGAAATTAAACAGAGTTAATTGACAAATCTTTACATGAAAACAGTATTTTGATCCTTTTCTTCTTTCTGAAGTGACAAACATTATTTCCATAGCTACTGACCTTACTGAAATTTCATTAAGTTCAACCACTTTGAAAGCAGCTTTCGGGAAGCATCATGTAAAATATAAACAGCTCCCTGAGGCATCATAAAGGTACACCTTTAACCCCATTCAAATACATAACAATACTCTGACCTTAAACAAATGCAAAAGGTGCAAAATTCCAGAAAAAGGAACCTTTTCCTCTTATTCTATAAAGAATAGGGGTAAAAATATTGACTGTTACTTTGTAATTCAATTTCAAAGAAAAATCTTATTTTTAACCTGCAGAGCATCAACTGATACACATCAAGTGATATACTACAGCTATATTCAAACAAAAGCAACAAACAAAAAACCACAGACAAAATAAAACAAAAAATCCACAAAGAAACAAGCAACAACAAAAAAAAGCCCAACCCCAAACAAAGCCACAGTTTGGTAAGTTTTCAAAATCCTTCCCTCAGAAGACTTCTGTAAGTCTGGTGTATTCCTCAAGGCCCAACAGTATTTCAGGCATAGAATAATAGGTCTGGTATTCCTCAAGGCCCAGGTTTTCAAAGACAGAGCAGTGATGCCTTTCGAAGGCATTATAATCAATTCCATTTAGGCTTGCAGACAGGGAGAGCCTTCTGTATTGTGCAAGCCAAAACCTGGCATTAAACACTCTTTTTTCGTGAAACCCTTCTTACTGCTTAACCACTCAAATAGCTACAGGCTACTGTCACACATGTCAAAACAGCACACTTCCATTTCCATTGCTAGCCCCCAATTCAGCTCTTAAAACAACACTAGGAAAATTATCGAAACAACAGACAAACACGGATTAGATGGCTGTTTAAGACTTTTTTTGCATTCGAGAAGTGTGACCCGGGGAATAAATAAAACACCATTTACAGAGTTTGAGTCCTCAAATAAAACTGCAGTAACTCCAATACACAAAAATTACTTGCCAACAGAAACTGTGGTTTTCCAAAAAGACTACAGGTAATTAAAACACACACACACAAAAAGGCAAAATCAAAAGCATACTAAAAACCCCCACAAGGTATAAAGGGAACTAAAGATGAGGGAATAGACCAAAGCCATTTCCTACGCACCTCCTACCCCCTTTCCCAGCTCCCCAGGGAAGGACTTGCACGTCCTCAGGAGCGAAGCAACCAAGCAGGAATCAGCATCAAAGAAAGGGAAGAAGAAGACGCCACCTACCTGTCCCAAAGGCTTTGGCTACTAGCCAGGCGAGATTACAGGCGATTTTCGCTCGGGAGAAATCATAATGGTCAAAAGGTTTGATGGCAGGAACAATGAAAGTCTTCCTCATCTCCTTGGCGTCTACGGCATCCCCCATCTTCTCACAGGACCCCTGACAACTGGGAACTTACATGGTTCTTCCACGTCCTCCTCCTCCCGCGGCCGGGAGAGACGTCTGTAAATACGCCGACAGCAGCTGAGGCCAGCGCTGAACTCAGCTGTCCGTAAAGGGCTAACGCCGCCTCCCGCCTTCCTCCGCACAGGAATGTAGCAGAGCCCGAGTGTCTTCTTCTTCCTTCTCCTCCTCCTCGCTCTTTGTCTCAATTCACTCTCGCCGCCCCCCACCCTCCGAGAAACGGGCCCCGGCGGCCCCGGCCCCCGCTCCCCTGGGGCGACCCTCGGGCCAGGGCTGGGCTCCCCAGGCCGCCGCCAGCCCCTCGGCGCAGGTCGGGGGCCGCTAGCAAGGCCCCCGCAGCCGCAGCAGGCCGTGATACGGCCCTACCCGGCCCCGGCAGAGACGCCGAGATGTCAAAACGCCGGGGACCAGCCCCAAAACCCTGCGCAGCCCGCCGCGTCACGTCTCAGCAGCGACCTGCAGCGCACCGGGAACAGTGGTGGCTCCTCTGCCGCTGCCCAGCGCCCGGGCACTGCCCCGCCGCCTCTCAGCGAGGCGACGCGCTCCCGTGAGCCGCCGCCGCTGCGGTTCTCCACCCGTAGCTGCCGCACTGGACGGGCGAGAAGCGGCTGCGCACGCGCTAACGCCACGGCCTCCCAATTCGGGCGCCAGAAGCAGGGGCGGAGCGGGGCGGGCCGCCCTCAGCCGCCCGGTGGTCACATGGCGCCCCTACCGCAGCGTTGGGCTCTTGGCGCCGTGCCGGGTGTTGGTTTCGGGCAAGATGGGCATTGCGTCAGGTCTGGGGGTGCTCGGGCGGGCTGAGCTCAGCCGGAGAGAGAGGCGGAGTGTTTCCCGCCGGTAAGGGGGCCCCCGGCTGTGGGGAGAAGGGCGGTGTCCGTCGGGTTCGGGGCTCGCCCGCTGCCGGCGCCGCCGCTTGCCCACAGCGGGGCCAGGCGGGCTCTCCCGCGCGCGGCCGTTGGCTTCTGGTGGTGCTCTTGAGGGAAGGTCGGGACCGGGACCGGGACCGGGACCAGCCCCAGCGCTGGGTACGAGCGGGGCTGAGGGGCTGCGGCCACCTCTGCGGGCCGGGCCGCGCCAGAGGGCTTGTCCTTCTTGGTGAATTGGTCCCTCCTCTTTTAAACTGCGTCTATATATAACTTCTCGAATGCTCGGGTAGAAAAAATGAGAGAGCCTTAAAATGGTTCAGGGCCTGCTCACGTAATAACCGTAATAGCAGGCAGTGGTAACAATTAGCCCTAGAGACCATCTGCTGCCCAACTCACCTGTACCTGGGCTGGTTTTGGAAATGCGTGAAATCACTTTAACAGCGGCCTGTGTGGAAATAAGTATTAGTCACAGTAGGAACTAGTACCTGGGTGATTAATGACTTGCATTTGTTGGGATGAGTTGGCTTGGAGGTGCGGGTCTGTGGGTGTGGCAGTCTTGGTGACAGCCTCAGGGTGGTGACCCTGATGGGGAGGCCCTGCCTCTGCTCTGTATGGCCACTGTGTAACTGTGGGAGCCGCAGTGCCAGGGAGTAGTAAATTTGTGCTTTTTTGGCAACAAATACTTATTACGTTGGTGTAATGTAGAAATGTGCCGTCCTTCCCTGCCAGCCTGAGTGCTCCAGTAAGCTGTGTGGTGACACAGTTAAGGAAGCTGATCTGGACACGTATTGGGTCACTGAAGGACCACTTCTGACTTGCATCAGTACAGCTAACTTGCCTGTAGAATGGGCTTTTTCTGTTGGTTCACCTCCCCGTCTTATGGTAAATTGTGTCTTCCCACTGATGCAGTCTGAGGTGGGTTGGATTTTGGTTTGGTTTATGTTGGGTTGGGTTTTTTTTCAGCCCCACTGAGTCTGGAAAAGAATATTTAGTCACAGTCTTAGCATTATACTGTAAGGTTTCAAATAGTATTTTATCCAAACTCTTATTTCTTTGTGTTTAAAGTGGACTATGAATTGATCTAGACAGAGATTTTCCACTGCTACAAGGCTGCGTATGCTTCTAGCACTTCATGTGCACAATTATACAAATACCGTGATGATGAAGTCATAGTGTACTTTGCAGATTTACTGACATTAATCTACATTTACTAGGAATGAGAAAATTAAAGGGTTATGGAGGTCAGCATTTGAAGAGATTATTGCTGAGTATTTCCCAGTGTGCTCTCTGGGATGGAATTCCCAAACTGTCATGCATACCTCTCATAAGTGGTACATAGCTAGTTACAAAACTAGGAGCTGCTGCTGGCAGTATTCAGCAAATGGGAGGGGAGAAGGAAAGTTTAGAAATTCTTGCTTTAGCACACTTATGACTGACATTCCCAGATCCTCTACAGTAGAAATGGGACGAATAATACCAAATTTACATACAGGTATGACTTGAGAAAATGTTCTCTGTTCAGGAGGAGTATATCCTTAGTTTTCAACAACTAAAGTAAAACCTACATTTGCACATTTTCCTGAATTATTTTTATATATACTTTTGAAATAAGTTATATTAGACATTATTTTAATTTCTTTCTTTTTACAGTTGCCACTAGAAAATGAGTTTAATTCTTCCTGTATATTTAACATCAAACACTTGGAATTCTTATGCTTTAAAACCTCACATGATTAGAGCTAGAAAAAAAAAAAAAAAGTCCTAGATTCCAACTCATTTATTTCTCATATGACTGATAAAATACCAAAAAATTAGATCAGCCTACAGGACAACATGTTTAGGAAGACTATAAGCTGATCATTTAAGTATGATGGCTATAGGATCCTTTTACCTTTAGGGCAAAAGATTACAAACTAGTGCCTATGAAATAACATGAAGCTTTCAGAAACAGCTTTCTTACAGAAACGTGTCATAATCCAAATAAGAAGCCATTGCATATATTTAATGTACTCCTGTATTTGTCATCTGTTCCTGTGCACTTGCAAAACATCACATATACAACTGCACTGTACCAGACACTGACACTAGTGACACTTCCCTGAAGCAAATACAGATATGTCCTAAATTCTTGCAATCACAAGCCTCTTGTTACTTTAAAAGTGAATATTGTTTTAGGGGATGCATCTCAAAAGTGGCAATAGATACAACTATGGGTAGGTACATACAACATTGCTGCCAGTCTAATTTAAAGTGCAGAAATTCTTGTGGGTGCAGAGCCTTTGTGCCGATGAAACCTGTTCGGTCACAGAACAAAATCTAAAGAAGCTGTGTTGTGGTAACTGCAATCTAAGTGGGATTTTTTAATTTGTTCAGTGCTCTTAGAAGTGAACGTATGAATATAAAATCAAATATGTGTGAGTGAAAAAGAAGACATCGCCACCAGTTGCCGGAGTTCTTGTGCCAGATCTTCTGCTTCTGCAGACATGCTAAAATGCAATGTTGCTTATTGCATCATCAAAGATACCAGCAGTCAACATGGCAAATTATTAAAATTTGCTCTAATTTTTCAGAGTAGATAAACAGCAAAACTGAGTGAGGAGTCGTCCACTTCTGCTGCTGTTTATCCTCAAATATTTTAAATAGTGATAACCTTTTCTGTACGCAATCTTTCTGCTGCTAAGTGTTTTATACTTTGAAGTTCATTCCAAGTGGAAAGACAAAGTGTTACAGATTAAAACAGGCAACTCACACATACATATTTTTTTTTACCTTCTTTCTCCTTTCCTTTCCTCTCCCTCCCTCTACCCCAAATTAGAAACCCATTTGACTAGTTTTATCATGTAATTACATCATAAACCTGATTCTTCACTGTCATGTGTCTAGCCATTTACACAGTGGGTGTACCAAGCCTGTAGTCAGTGTAGGCCACAAATACAACCATGAAGCTATGAGTAATAGTGTGGATGGCAGTTGTTGCTAATAGTCATAACCTTGGGAGATAGTTTTTTGTTTTGTTTGGGTTTGATTTTTTCCTACTTCTGTTAAGATTTACTTGACTTCTGAAGAGGTCATGTACAGAAGATGCCCTTAGACTAAATTCAGGCCAGTGCTAGATTACAGTGTGTGTTCAAACTGGAGTAAGATTTCATGCATAACTTCATTCTTCACAGTAGTTGATGATAAAGGTAAAATGTTTGAAATTAGAAATGCCATTACTGTCTTTGCTGTGGCACTGTCTGTAGCCAGACTTGGCCTTAGTGAACAATTTATCATGCTACCTACAAAAGGTATTAAAACATTCCCCTTTCAGTTGGTTGTATTAGGGCAAATCCACAAACACAGCAGTTAACAAGTATTCTCCTGTGTAATGCTTCAGGCTTGGTGGTGAAAAAAAGACTAGGAATAACACTGTGGGGATAATTATCTTTAATTGCTGCTATCAAATGTGCCTGTTTAAGATGATCCCATCTATTTGCCTTAGCTTAGAGGATACCAGTCACAGTAGATGTGGTAGTGGCTGATGGGAGGGGTGTGCCCTGTGGCCTGTAACCTCTGGCAAAGAGGCAGCATGTACAGCTTAATGTGGTACTGTCAGTCTGTCAACATACAGACCTAGAAGCAGTCATGTCCCAGTGTTATCCTTCATAAATGTGCTTTAGCAGGTTTGGTGCTGGGTATGTGAGGTTGAACAGGTAATCTAGAAATGATTCTGTAAGGCTATTACAGCATAGGATCACTTATGAACTTGAACTACTGATATTCCAGTCTCTTAAACTTATGAGTAATGGTGAAAACAGTAGAACTGCAAGAGTGAAGAAATTATTTTTTAAAGTATTTATTATCAAGTGAGTCTCTGAATTATTAAACTTTTTTTGACATTATTACTGAAATGCATATATGTGGTTTTTTGCAAGTTAGGAGTTTTCTCAGTGCATGATTTTAGAGGGGAGTTATGTTCTTCCTGTTGCAGGACGATAATAAAAGTACAAGAATAGTTACATAATTATCGTCTCTTAAATTCTTCTATTAATTTGTAACCAGAAAGTGCTGAGCCATTTAAAAGTGGAGAAAACAGCTTATGAACTTTTCAGATTTCAGTAGTCATGTGTCAGAGGGAAAATAAAGCTTTGTGTGACAGTTTAATTGGATTGCCTGTGATTTTTTTTTTTTTTCCTTTATACAGGTAAAAAATGGAAAACAGTGGAATAATAGCTACTTCCGCTCATTTACTGCTGAAATCTGGACAACCAAAAAGCTGACCAATGAGAATTAAGTGTGGTACCTAAGTCACTTCTCTTAATACTTGGATGCCATGGGTTTAATTTCATGAACTTGGCTTTGACCTAATGTGGCTCTGTGAAGGGAGGAAAAGAATTTCCATCTTCCTCCTGTTGATTCCACTTGGTCTAACCAAGGAACAGATCTGTCCCTTTCCTGTGGTCTGTGAGAGGCAGTGTCTTTCATCTCATCTGACGCTTGTGGCTTGTTGGTTTGTTTGTCTTTTTCTCTGGTCACTTGGGCATCATCTTTTCTGAGGGTAAATTGATATTTAATTTTTTTAACCTGGCTTTCACACTGGCTGCTCTCATGTTCTGCCTATCTCCTGGAATTGTGCTCATGCTAGGGGGTTTTAGATTACTTTTCTTCCCATGTGTGCTGTGCAGTGCTCACTAATTTCCAGTCCTTTCTCCTTGACATTCCACTGTTGCCAGGTTCTCTATGAAGAGCATGAATACCCTGGTATAACTGGTATTTTCTATTATAAACTTTAAAACATGTGGAATAGATCTTAGCCTCTTTGATTAGGTGAAATCTGTGTACTGTCTCTTTCATGGCCACTTGGTGCCTCACGTGTTTTCTAATGAAAATCCTTAATGTGATTTTATGAATATAACCTTTAAATAGAGCTGTAAAATAAATGTCTGGGGAGAAACTTACATTCAAAAGACCACTTCGAGCAACAACAACAAA